CCGTCAGCCTAGCAACAGGCGTCCACAGCAACGGTGTCGCTTAGCAACGGATGGGGCCAGGAAGCCATAGGGTTGGTACCGGAAGGAATGAGTGATCGATGCCAGACTGAGACTGAAAAACAGGAATGAGTGATTGGTTGGGAGTACAACGAGAACGATTGAAGTAAAATTAGAATGAATTACGGGAATAGGTGCTTGAATGACTTTTAGAATGAAGAGTAATTTGAGGTTTGAATTATTGAATGAGGGAGGAATTCAAATATTTTACCTATATATTGTTTTTTAAACTCACTTTCCCTTGCATGCGTTGTGAAATTCAACAACTGGAACTTAAATCACTGCGTGCTTTGAAAAACCCAAAGTTTGTATGTTCGCCAGAACAAAACCTGTGTACATGAGAAAATTAGTGAGTCCATGAAGGATAAACGAGTGAATGAATGAGTGACAATAAGAGATGCGTGAGTAAATTTATGAATGAGCTATTAAGGGAGAAATAAGTCAGAAAGTGACAGTGAAGTTTAGTGGTGTGATGGAGTTGCGTGGTATCGTGTTTAAGGGGCCGTCCATAAATGACGTCACGCGATTTTGGACGATTTTTGACCCCCCCCCCTCGTCACACGGCGTCACAAAAAGTCAGACCCTCCCCCTCAAATATGACGTCACAAAGCTCTGCCCACCCCCCCCAAATAAATCATGCTTCAAATCGCTTTAAACTATTGTCATTGTAGTGCGTATTTAATGTGGCGCTGCACTCTGATGTTGTAGGAAAAAACATTTATTATAAAGTCAATTTAATTAAGTAGAACGTATTGTCTATATTTATTTAAAGTTGCGCATTTTGATGTGACGTCACATTTATCACCCCCCCCCCCCCCCGTTACACATCGTCACAAATGTCTGACCCACCCCCCCTAGGTGCGTGACGTCATTTATGGACGGCCCCTAAGTGGTGTAATGAAATGAAGTGTAAGTGTGCACAAGTGGTGTAGTGTAGTGGTATGGTGTAGGGGTGCAGTGGTAGTGGTATAGTGCAGTGCAGGGGTGTGCTGTAGTGGTTTTGTTCCGTGTAGCGGTGTGATGTAGTCGTGCAGTAGTGTAGTGGCGCAATGCATGTCGGGTCGTGGTGCGGTGGAGTGAACCTGCTGAGTTTCAGGAGAGTCTCGTGTCTCCGGTGAGTGTCGACCGAGTGGCGAGGTGTCACGTGTGTCTGGCGAGGGTCAGGCGGATGACTGGTGAGTGGTGGCAGGCGAGTGGTGAGTATCTGGTCACAGTGTCATCGGGTGAGCAGTGCCAGTGGTGTCTGGTGAGTGCTTGAGAGTCACCAACAGAGGCTTGGTGGAGCCGATGGTGGAGAAACCAGCAATGAGAGGAGAGTTGAGGGAAGATGACTGAGCCCAGTCTGTAGGAGGGCTGCCTTCTCGAGAGATATATATATAAAACACCACAGTGTTATTGACGAATGTGTTGCGTTTTTGATAATTGTGCTTGTTGCACAACGCAGCATCGCCGAACAATCTGTCACCCTAAACTCGGATGAGGAATGGTGCGAATTACACCGCTGGTGTGTTTTCAAGTTGTACTGCAATAATGTCCAAAGTTTTTTAATTCTCGTGCTTGGGCGGTGGGGAGGGCGGGCTTTTTCAGGAAGCGCGCACACGAGCGTGCATCCAAATGTTACTCATTGGGTTTTTCGGTAAAATCACGTATGTAGAGATACAATAAAATTACATGAAAACAAAACAATCACGACGTTTCGATCACAACACAAGCGATCTTCATCAGGTGTCAAGAACAAATCATGGAAAGAACAAATCATGGAGGTAAATACAACAAAAAAGATGAGAGACGAGAATTTAACAAACCTAAAAAACATTATGTGAAGCACAACCAATCAGGCTAACAACACAGTTAGACACTTTTGGCGGACCACGAATTTCAGAAGTGTTAAATTTCGTGTTAAACTTCTGGATTGCAAAAAAACTGCATAGACAGAGTGAAAATACAGTAGGAAAGACTGACCATGTACCTCGTATTTTCACTCTGTCTATGCTGGTTTTTTTGCAATCCAGAAGTTTAACACGAAATTTAACACTCTTCTGAAATTCGTGGTCCACCAGGAAGTGTCTAACTGTGTTGTTGGTCTGATTGGTTGTGCTTCACATAATGTTTTTTAGGTTTGTTAAATTCTCGTCTTTTATCTTTTTTGTTGTATTTACCTCCATGATCTGTTCTTTCCATGATTTGTTCTTGACACCTGATGAAGATCGCTTGTGTTGTGATCGAAACGTCGTGATTGTTTTGTTTTAATGTAATTTTATTGTATTTCTACAAACGTGACTTTACCGAAAAAAACAATGAATAATTTTATGCAGTCACGAAAGCTTTAATTACCTTATCAACATCCAAATGTTGTTCAGCTGACGCATGCGGTGCCTTTTTTTTTCGTTTTGCCGCTGCGTACGCGTTGGCTGGAATCGCAGGAGTGGTTGAACTAATCCGTCACAGACGCCTCTACTCCGCTAGGCCAAGCCGAGGCCGTGAGGCGACATCGGCCGAGACAATTGGAGGCTCCAGTGCGACGAGCGTGGTCACCAAGTCGAGTTGACTCAAACAACTTAAACAAGGCCGAGCGAATCCTTGCCCGAATGAGCATTGAGACGGTGCACATATTAATTTTGGAACCCTGAGCCAGCGTTGGAAATTCCACATTGCAATGACGGCTGGTTTTGGGGGGGGCGGCGGGTGGTTGGTGGGCGAGTTTATCCATAGGACAATAACCGCTGTCCACTTCCATACGACGTGGTGCTCACGACTAAACACAAGCGAATAAAGAGCCGAGGAAAACTGGAGCTCACACTCGAGTTGCGGAAGCGCGAACACGAGTGTGCATTGAGAGTTGTCCGCTGACGCGCGTGTGCCTCGTTTTGTTCGTACGAGTGGGCGGCTGGCATGGTCACGAGAGTCAGCCGCGTCTGATGCATTCATTAGCCGCGTAATCGCGTTTGCACAGCACTCGCCGGGAGCGGTCCCGCTGTCTCCCTCGCAGTCGGAGAATGAAACAGTCTCCCTGTTGTGCGTGCGGCGAGCTGCAATCCGGCCATCGCATTGGCGACAACCCGCTCATTACACGCTCGCGCAGGAGGGTACGGACGCCGTACACCAGGCAACTCATGATGCCATCGAACCGATTGGCCAATCTCAAGACCTCGCTCAATTTTGTCAGTCACTCTTCAAACGGCATACCAGAACGATAATGAAAATAATAATAATAATATTAATGATGATGACATTATGCACGACACTTGAATGGAACGCATACGATAGGGCGTTAACCGAGGAGATAGAGCGATGACATCAATTCGTGTGCAGGTGCAAGGTGGATTGTTCGATGGCATGATCGTGAGAAGTAGCGGCGGCTTTGGGAGGCCTTGATCTAGCAATGGATTGACCATATCGGCTGCAGTTCACGATAATGATGCTGCCCTTCTAATATATTCCCATGTTACGGCGATACAGAGAGTGTTGCTATTCTAATCTTGCGAATGATGGCATTAGCAATATGTCCGGGAGATAAATGTCGAGGTCTGCTGCTGGCCGCGAGGAGAGGGCTTCAGGAGAGAGTTCGTGTCGTGTTGCGATTCTTCCTCCTCCGTTGAGGAGCTCGGACTACAGCAGTATGCTACGTGGCCCATAGGTTTGTGGTGCATGGCCCCACATTCGCACCACTGTGGCTTGTGTCTTTATGAAGATGGCTAATTCCTACCAGGGGCGGGCGGTACGTGCCCGTCCGTGGCTCGCTAGAGGTGTGCTGTGCACAGCAGATCTGCGACCCGCGATACGAAGCCGCGTTAATGCAGCAAGGCACCCACCTCCCTCTCGCGCTGGTACGCACTTTCGAATAAAAGGAGACGTTCCGAGTCGCGAGCCCCCCCCCCCCCTCTTCATTAGATGACGTTTGTCATGCAAATGCCTGCAGTGTTGTTGTCAAATATGGGGTGGAGCGGTGGTGCAGTGGTTAGCGCACTGCTGTGTGAATCTTGCAAACGATTAGCGACACCAGTGGCGAGCGATATTGGGACTGGCGCCGCTCTCCACCCCGCCTTATCGACCTGCACCGACCAGTGTGGTGAAGTATGGTCAACCAACCCCATGGCCGATATGGCGTGGAGGACCCCTTTGTCCAGCAGTGAGATGACAAAGGGCTTGGGTTTGGAGGTCACCTGTTGGCTCAGACGGCAGAGCGCGTTCGAATCCAGGCACCCGCCTTTGGTGAAGCCGGGTTCTCAAGTGCAATGAGTTAATCGTCGTCTCAGCTTGGTCACCGATGACTGCACCAAAAAAACAAGCGCTTTAAATTGGGGTGCAGCACCTGATATGACCGTCATTAGACACACCTTCTCTCTCTCGGAGAGTTATACATTGATTATTGCTCTCGTGATACTGAGAGTACAATAGGCATACATTGTGGGGAAAGATGCACTCGGCAGTTGGGCGCCAGGATGGCCAGATGTTAACTACCTCGCCTGGTATACAGGAGGTCGTGGGTTGGATTCCGACCCTGACGCCTGCTGCTGTATATTTGGAGTTTGCAAGTTTCTCTCCTCGTGGTCACGTGGATTTTTCCCTGAGTCCTCCGGGTTTTCCCTTCACATTTAGAAACATGCATTTAGAGTACCGTATTTTCCCGCAAATAACCCGCGGGGTATACCACTTTTTACAAACAAAGCAAGACCCTGCGGGGTATATGCATCTGCGGGTTATATGCGTATGCGGGCTATATGCGGGAAAATGCGGTATTTGGCGGCTATAATTTCCACATAGGTCACTTCATTGGGCTTTCATTTGTGACCGCAACTATACAGCTCGGTGAGACTTACCTCGTAAAATAAAAAAAGTAGTTTAAATATGTTTAGTTTTTTTTTCAGTTTTTCATTTATTAGATATAGCCCTGTGAGCCATTCGGCTCTTGAATCGGGTGCAACCGCAACAAACAAAAATCCAAAAACCAACCTGTCGCCAATGAAGCATGTTCTGAATCGAGGTTCCAGCTGGGCAGTGAGAGGCATAGACTGGCACTCGACTCACGTTCATGTTCTTCTCGTTAAAGCCACAAATGACGAAGAAAACATGTTCACACAAGTCTTCGATGATTTCCTTGTCACTGATTTCTGCCGACAGCCATTTGAGAATGTCATTATGAGGCAAGAACTTCTTTCATTTTTCCAAAAATCACCTAGATGAGCCAATCCGGAACGTCAGCCAGTTTAGCCATGGGGCTTGTGGAGTGGTGCACGTTAACCACAGCCGCAAGCCCTATGAAGAGCTTGATCTTCTTCGCCAGTTTAGGGTTGGAAGAGAAAGCAGCCAGGGCAATGGTGGTTCGCTGGGAGTGCCCCGCGTAGAACAACCGTTCTTCGTTAGGTCTCGTTGAGGATGAAGTCCACCACGGCAGGGAGATCCAAAGAGCTCCACGCCCAGAACTCCTCCTGATCAGGCGTCAGGGCACGGTGGTGGTGCGACAGGTGTTCCCGCGGCTGTTTCCGATCCACACGTCGTAGCCGGCATCGGCCAGGATGAAGCCCAGGCTGTCGTGGGCGAAGTTGGACACCCAGTTGCTTCCGCCAGCCAACAGCCCGTGCTGCAGCAGCACGGCGGGACGCACTGCTGCCGTGCTGTCCTTCAGTCCACGTGGGATTCTGTTCACACTCAGGATAAACCCATCTGCAGTTTCCACCTTGTACTCCACATTCGGATATCCCTTACTAGAAATAAGTTCGCTAATGTTCATGTACATTTCTGGGTCGCTGCGTAGGTCGTTGTGCTGATGGTTACACCTGCCACACACACTCCATTATGTGAGAGAACCGAGGGTCGTGTATACAAAGAGATAGATCCCAGCAGTAGTCAAACCGCGTGCCCATATCCAGGTGCAGATACTTGGAGCAGACACAATATGACACTCACTAAAATGTTACACGCGCAATCAACTCGACGTGATGCTACGTGACATTTGCATTATCGTATTGTCAAACCCCATTAAGGACTCCTTCCCAACCGTGTCCTTGTAAAAAGATTACGCAAATGGCCGTTGTTGTGTGCGTGTGTGAGTTGCATTTTCACAGAAACTACTTCCGCGAACATAAATGATTAGCTACGTCCACATGAAGCCCCGGAGGCACGAAGCGGCAGCAGTCAATGGTGGCTATGCCTTATTAATGATCCTTAACAGGGGTTAAACTGCTTGACGCAGCCGTTTATTCGCCTTCGTGCCACACAAATGACGGTCACGATTTCGACTCAGTGAAGTCGGTGGTCTGAGACGAGGCCGTGTGCGGTATGAGCGCAATGTTTGGTTGAAGTCTAGTCAAGTTCAATACACGCACGTACAATGACATTCTTTAGCACCGGACGTAGCCAACCGTGCAAATCAGTTGCGTGGGACAACAAACTAAACACAAAAATAAATAAAAAAATATAATTTTCAAACGAGATTTAAAAGTGTATAGCTCCAGTGGCTTCCTAATATCGAAAATAAGAGCTTTCCAGACAGCCGCAGAGGCGCATCTGAAAGCGCGCAATACGGTAACCCTCTTTGTTTGATGGTTAACCAAACGCGTCTGCGAGCATGATGGTTCGCGTGATGGTTTATGCTCCTTGACGAGATCAGCAAGGTATTGTGGTTAATTTGCCGCAAGCCTGTTGTGTAATTAATTCGACCTCATAATGTATTCTTTCAGCCACCGGAAGCCAATGCAGCCCGGCAAGCACTGGACGGACATGATTGGATCTTGCAGTACCCGTCACGACACGTGCCAGTGTTGTACGCTCTGCAGCTTGGTAATGTTTTTTTTGCAATGCATGCTGGGATGAGCGAGCGATCCACGTGGTCACTATCGCTCCTTCCGTGCGCTGAGATCACGGTCGCGCCTGTAAGATTATCACTGCTCATTTGTTTCCAGCCTGCACGAACGCTTTTTTGTCTGAAGAGTTTTCCATTAGCGTCAGAAAATGCAATAAGCACAGCATCGTCATCGACATTCATAATTGATTTCTGAGTCAAATCGCGTATAAGTAAACATGTGCGTCGTACACCCCCCAGCCACCTGGATCAGCCAGTTCATAAAGGTGTCGGTTGGAGGAGGGTTCGCGACACACATTTTACTAACGCGATCGTATGACCCCACACAAAAAAAAACAATTATTAATAATATTTGTCGCTAAAGCCGACGTGTTGAATGCTCGCTTCGAATGCTTCTGGCACAGTATTCATCACTCTGGCTTGGCCTCGAGCCGTTCAGCTCCTTTCTATGAAGCGCGTGAGCGGCTCAACCGTGGCTTGGCTCAGATTCAGCTGACATGGGAACTCATCCTGAGCGTGGTTGGGACCGTGCGCAGAGTTGGCTCAAGTTAAGCGTGGCTCACAGCCAGATAACTTTTGGCCTGAGCCAATCCTGAGCCTGGATATCAGAATGGGTCATCATGGTGTTAAACCCTCCACTTCCAGATAGCAAGCTGCCATTCTTGGATGTTCTGTTTGAGAGGAGGAATGATTGCTCTTTGGGACATTCTGTTTACAGGAAGTCCACCCACACAGATTCCTACTTGAAGCCTGATTCCCACCACCACCCGGCTCAAAATAATTATCTCATCAAAACATTATACCATAGAGCTCATTGCATTTCTGACCAACACCACCTGACCAGTGAATTAAAACATGTACATCTAGCCCTCAAGATGAACGGTTACTCTGACCATATCATCCGCCAAGCTGTTTCTTCCACCATACAGAAACAACCACTTGACACTCCAATCAAAATCATCACACTGCCATACATAGCAGGCGTTACCAAAAATATTTCCAAAATTCTACAGAAACACAAGATCCAGGTTCGATTCAATACAGTACACAAAATCCGTGATCTGATCCCATCCGTAAAGGATGTCATCCCCGACTTACAGTACGCCGGTGTTTACAAATTGAGTTGTATCTGCGGTGACTGCTATATCGGGGAGACAAAACGACATATTTCTGACCGAATATGCGAGCACAAATCAGATTTGAAACACTGCAGAACGAATTCGTCGGCCGTAGCTGATCATTGTCCCAACACAGCGGGTTCTCATGACATTGTTTTCTCCGATACCAAAGTACTATGCAAACCTCCCGGTTATTACCAAAGATTTGTCCATGAAGCCATCCAGATATACAAACATAGACACAACTTCAACCGAGAGGATGGTTTTAAATTAAGCAACCACTGGAAAGATGTCATGAACAAAGTCAAAACTTTAGCTACCTTATAAGCGCACAGCATATTCTTTCCGAATTTTTCCATTTTTGTTTCCATTTTTCCATTGCCCCCGTGCAGTGACCCACCGCATCCCCCGCACCCTCAACATAACAAAAGACAGATTAACTTAGCCCCGCACCCCATAAATGTCCCCTACTTGGCTCCCCCCCCCCCCCCTTAACCTGTATTTAAGCTCGAGGCTCTCAGAGCCTCCCCACTTGATGCAGCGATCTTGCTGTGACTGTCCCACCTTTAGACGGAAGCTTGTGTTGCCTCCGAAACGTCGTGATTTAATTGTTTTATTTTATTTTACCTACGTGACTTTACCGGAAAAAAAACAAAGAGTATGAATCCTTGCAGTGACGAAAGCTTCAAATCTAGAATTGATTAATGATATTACGGCGACGTGACCCTGAATCGATGTGGCTGTGTCAATCGTTTCCGCGTATTGAATGTTCAGCTGATTACATTTAAACGGTTGTCTGCTGCTCACCTACTCGGCCCCACAGTTCGTGCCACACGCTGCCCACCGATAGCGAGGGGGGAGCGGAGAGATTGGCGTAGATCAGCCCCAGGCAGCTCCAGCCTAAAGGCAATCCTGCGTATCGTGGTCTCTCTCTGTCGCCAAAGTGAGTTGATGACAATCAATACGCTAAAACTGTTTTTATTTTATTTTACCAGGTTAGGCCCACTGAACTATATAGCTCTTTTGTAAAAGCGACCTGGTTATACATGATAGGTCAGCGAAGTGGCTTATCATGTGGACATTTATAGTAGCCAAATACTCTACGCGAATGTTTCTAAATGCGGAGGGAAAAACCGGAGTACAAGGGCAGAAATCCACACGACCACGGGTAGAACACGCAAGCTCCAAATATACAGGCGTCAGACCAGGCGAGAGAGATAACATCTCGCCACCGCGGCGCCCCTAACCAAAGGGTCGGGATGGGTCGAGAAAGTTGGTCGGTGGGGTTGAGGGGGGCGGTTGGGAGCAGCGTGGGGGAGGGGTAGGAGGTATAAGTGGGGGGGGGCAGCTTCTCTTCCATTGCCCCGTTTACTTAGCAAGATCTTGCGACCCGCAAATAACTTCCAGACCCGCAACAGATACATTCACCACGCGGCAGCGGCGGCGGCGCCCCATTAAATGACACCGATAGGACCTCTTGTCTCAATATAAATGGGCTCTGTCTATATCACCCCCGGCCGCCCGCCCCCTTCGCTTTAGGGGCCGTGATTGGGATGGCGGAATGTCCGTGCGGGGTAGGGTTAGGGGAATAGAGACCGAGATCGGAGTCAGTGAATGGGTGGGATGTGGATGGGTGGCTGCTGGCGGTTTCGGCATCTGTGCATGGAATTCAAGCGCAGCCCACGACAGACGTCCTAATGCATCCCTTGGTTGCTGTCGACGAGTTTATGAGCTCGGCGATCCACGCTGAGATCCTGAGGGAGGGAGGCAGGGAGACAGACGTGCGTGCGGTGGGGTTGGATGGAGGGCGCTGTCTGTGGGGGCTGGAGGCATTAGTCACGTGGCGGCCGGCGCTGTTGGGGTGAGAGGGGACGATGTCCAGCTGTGTTTGATCTCACGGCCTGGGCGAGATTGTGCAAGAAGAGAGATGTCCGACAGAGAAAAGAGGGACAATGAGGGCTGCCTCACCGCGTCCCCCGCCCCACCCTTACTGGGTTTTATTTGCGCTCTAAAGGATGATAGACGAATTCTAACACTTCCTGTAAACGACGGGGAAAATCATTGAACAGAGAGAACAGACATCACACGCAAACTTGATTTGTGGACAGCAAGAAAGCGATTCGTGGACATGTCAGCTCCGCTCTGTGTCCAGAAGGCAGCTTCCGTGCGCACTGTTACTCTTGGAAGTGGCGATGACCGGTGGTCGAGACTAACGACGGAGTGACAACCAATCGATGGAATGCGCCCGAGAAGACGTCCACCGCGGGAAATGGAGCGATGAAATGAGCTCATCCTGGATGGATTATTACTCTGCAGGATAGTGAAAGGCGTTCGACGACCTGCGGAGGTCTCTATCCAGCAGTCGATTGATCAGAGCTGATCATGATGATGAGGCTGGCAACTACATGAGTGACATCATTATCGATTAACGTGGCTTTTATTTTTTTAATGCTCCTGATAGGTGTATCGAATCGCGTGCCTAGAGAGATAAATTTGTTTACATTCGCTTTCGGGGCGCCACCGTGAAGGTAGACATCTCGTCGTAATAACATCTGATGACCCATCCTCAATTTGCCTCGTAGGCGTGAACCTGCTGATTATATCTTGAAAGCCAAAACTGGCCCAGAGTTTGCCCGCTTCAACGCATAGAGCCGGAGGCTATGGTCGGAAAGGTTCATAGGCCGATGGACAAAGCGTACATTCTACCTTGCGTACATAAACGGGCTCTCCCCATGTCCTTTCATGATGCGCTCATTAACAGACTGATTCCCGACCACGGCTAACATCAGTGGCGAGTGAAATCTGAACCGATCCTGGGCACCGCCCGCTTTCACCAACCCGCATTCGTGTTT